CATCTTTTATTATTATTTTCCATCTACTTTCCACTACAAATCAATAGCCTACCAACTGATCAACTACTTTTTTCAATAAAGTTTTTAGATTTATTTTAACTTCAACACTGTGTTTTGTCTCTTTTACTCAATCTACAATAAATCACTACACTTGTTCTTTAACAGACTAGATCCTCAGTCATTTCAAAGATCAGATAGTTGTTTGCCAGTTTTATCCTTGAGTTACTATAGGTTACCTCGATCAAATACATCTTGATTCTACTGACCAGGATCTAGTTATCACACAATTGGTAGTTGATTGATTTCTTCAGTTCCTCCAAGTAATATTTTTCTCTTGTATTATTGGTAAAAAATTTCTTTACTTGACCTTATTGTGTACCAGCCACTACCATGTAAGCCACCACTCTGATGGAGATTAGCTTGCAGTAAATAGTGAATTTGAACTTTATATCACTGTTGTTGCTGTAGCTAAAAGTGTGAAAGTTTTAGAAGCAGATCTTAGCTCGAGTATCAGTATATTAAGTTTAGATATCCTACAGAAGTTATCTGCTGATACTGCCTATCCACAAGGTGTACTGCAACTGTGAGATGAAACTATAAAATGCTAACAAAATATGTACACATGCAGTGGTCTGCATGAATGTATGTGGATTATGCCATTAATTACAGTTTATCTTTAAAGCACAAATGTTGTTTTATGGTATCCTATAAATGAAAGCTCAATTTACACCACCAGCTGAGGCTGCAGTTGAAGCAATACCTGAAACACACTGATTTATTTGAAAAATAAATGAGTCTTGCTTGCTTGGATACTTACCTTTGCAAGGGAAAGATATATTTTGACTGTGGTTTGTAGTTACAGTACACAAGTAGTAGAAATACTGGATGGAACAATCATTGGTTATGTGCATGAAAGTGAAGAAACTGAAACTAGTGATGTAGCTAACATAATTTCAGCTGTGCCATGCTAATGAAAAAAAAAACATTTTTAAAAACCTCTTTGATTAGGAAGAATGCTTATTAGACATTGAACGTTACAGGCAACATTTTACCTGTGTGCAGATTGCTAGCAATTCTCTTAATTGAAACTTTTAAATGATAATAATATAGTCTTTGTAATCTATTTCTAGGTTTGTATAGCTATGCCTGTACAGGTGACAACATTCATTTCCAAAAAATTTTCTCCTGACTTTCAGGTAAAATATCTTATTTTTACTGAATTGCTCTTGCAAATACACAAGTTACCAGTACACCTGAGGTCACTGATTGAAGATTGTGTAGACAATCTAAGTTCATGTTCCAGAGGAAACTTGGGAGGTTACTGATGTATTTTTTGGAACAGATGGTTGGCTTGGAAGAGCAAACATCACCCAGCATCATATGAATACCAAAGACGTAAATCCTATAAATCAACTGCCATGCAGGCTTCCTTGGAGCACCAAATATATAGACAGAATATAGATACTGGATGCTGAATGGTAAAATTATTTAGAATTCAGTGACTACTTGGCTGTCATCAGTATTAATGGTAAAAAAGAAAAGGGGTATAGTGAAGTTTGGTGTGGACTTCAGGTGGGTGAATGTAGTAGCATACGTCAATGCATTTCTGTTACCATGCGTGGATGAATGTCATGATTTATTGAAAGGATTCTTCTGGTTTAGCTTACTTGATCTTGCCTTTGCTTTCTGATAAGTCGAGGTAGACAACAAAAGCTATGCCAAGACCATTTTCTGCAAATGCATGTAAGGTTTCCTGGAAAAATTGTGAATTGTCTAAACATCCTACTAAAACAAAAGCAGTATAAGCTTGGCCTGAACTTGTGAAGAAGGAATTCCAAAATTTTTCAACTTTGTACCATACTACAGATGCTTTTTTGGCCTGTTTGAAAAGACTGATGAATTTATGATCACACATTAGATTACAATGTCACAGGAGAATAGTTTTTTCCTACAGTGCAGACCAGGCTCTGATCCCACACAAATTACTTTGGAAACCTTCTCAGGTTACTGTAAGCCATGTCTTAATGTAATGTAATGTGCTGCCATCTAGGAACCATCAAACACAACACGTCTTTCTCTTCACATATCACAAAATAATAATCACTGATAGAATTCAGTTTAATTAAGCCTTTTCAGCAAAAATTCTGATAAGTCAGAATTAATATTAGTTCTGTTACTACAGTATTTGTCAGTCTACAGTTGGAGGAAACAACTCAACTCTTCCACTGCATATGGAGAGGCCATAGTTCAGCATAGACTACACAGTATTTTCCATGGAACTATCACCACTGAGATAAATCAGATTAGTCTTTCTTTTTTAAACATCGGACAAAATTTTGCCACAGAAGATTACTCAATAGCACAGAAAGCAAGAGTTGCAAAACCCTTTCAACTGAGTTTTGAAACTTCTATTTATCATATTCAGTTTTGTAAACTGTTGATGTACTAGACATTACACCTACTGGCACCAGCTGGTGTTAACTTTGTTGATCAAGTAGCTATCATTTGATATCTTGTGGATAACGTATAGTAACACTTTGTCCAATAGCTCAGAAAGTAATGGTTGCACAGCCCTTTTGATCTAGCTGGCCTTACAATCAACAAACTGTTCTTACTCGAAGAAAGTGAGTCTCCTCCTCTGATTCCTGATAAAAACCTGTTGCCAAGAGGTTTGTTAGTGACATATGGATGCAACTTGTTAAGATGTAGTATTCACTATTTCCAAATGCTTCTTGACTGTTGTAACTTGTATGTTAATGGACCTTAATTTTGGAGAACAAGGTAAAGTCCTGTCCAGTCAGAACTGAATGGCTTCCATGCAGTTGGCATACCAAAGTCACATCTTGTATCCATTCTGGTACATTTGTTCTATCATATCTTATCATAGCACCTCCTCTGTTGTATGGCAGCCTTTCATTGCTGTTGATATACAAACTTGTGTCAATTAATGCAGACCTTAACAACTCCACATATTCTTGTGGACATTGTAGGACATTCACTCTAAAAGAATTACCATACATCATGTCCACATTATGCAAGACTTCCCATCCAAATGTGACTATGTTTGGCAAATAACCTGTTAATCTATGCTGAGTTGCACAATATGCCATCATGACATTCAATATAATGCTTGTCCCAGTTGGTTCAGTCAAGATTAACAAATTTAGCAAGCAACTGTTGACAGTCTTTATTATTTGCTGTACTGAACCATCCAACTGGGGTTGATAAGATGAAGTATATATCTTCCCCACACTCAGCAATTTACACATCTCGGAAAACAGTTATTAAAGTTAATTCCCTGATTTCAGTGAATCTCTAAGTTCTCTGAACCAGTTATCTAGTACTTCAACACTGCATCAGCCACAAAAGCCTCTGCCCATTTCACGAGTAATTGATAGACACAAGTATATATAGGTAACCTTGTTCCATCTCTGGAATTCAACCATTGATATCCAGGGCTGTTCTTTGTTGAGGTGAACCAACAATTCTATGCTGAGATTTAACCTTTTTAGGCTGACTTTTTTTTCTGTGTGGCACACAATGTACAGTGTTGACACCAGTAATGAATGTCTGGACTTGTATGTAACCAGTAGAACCAACATCAAGCATTAGTACAAGTGTGGATAATAATGTCTTGGTGCCTTCCAGTTTACTTTCTATAAACTGCAGTAACGTATGATCACAAAACTATCTACTGTTTCATAGAATAGTTATTATATCCTACTTTTTGTAGTGTATAGAGGGCTATTCTGTGTCTGTCAGACTACATGCTGTTACTAATAACAGCTTGGTCTTAGCACATTATGCTGGTGAAGCATGATCTATAGATTGGTGGTTTACTAATTTGTAACTTATAATTCTTCACTGTTGAAATGCTGTTATATTTTTTTTACTGGAAACTTTTATAAAGCCACTAATGAAAGATCAATTTAATAGATTATTTATTTACTTCAATTTTGATCTACTTCCTCCTACAACACAATAGTCTGTGAAATGATAATCCATTTTCTCATTTTCATGGATAAATAAAGTTTTATTTTTATTCACATTTCAACACAGTATCTTTATTTTTTTATTCCACCCATAACATATTATATCTGTCCTTTCACATACTAGGTCCTCAAATCACTATATATGTGCTAAGTTTTTACTTGAATCATCACACTATTATTGATGCAGTTAGGTCAGTCTTTGTTCTGATGCAAGATAATTCTTAGTGTTATACTGCCAAGATTTTGAGAATTGCTTTGAACAAGAAATCCTAAAAATCCTGGGTTGCCCAACAATTAGTCCTTGTCTGAGCCTTATAGAAAGATTGTTGTTTATCCTTAGTTGTCTTTAACCCATCACACACACACACAGAGTCACAGATCTTGGCCTTGCACTGGCTTAGGAGGGAGACAGAATCTGCCATAATGCCATTTCTCAACTAATCAGAAGTATATCATGCAAGCATGACACTGTGTGACTGCCAGGAAGCCCTGACGTGACACTTTCTCTTCTTTTTTTTTGCCAAATTTTACCATATCAGACAAATTGGATCAGTCAAAATTTCACTCGGTCCCTCTGAATTTGAGAGGGTCCTCATGCACACTGGCTGTTACTAGTGGTAGATTGTTAACCAAACTACTTGTACTACATTAAACATTTTCACTGAATAAATGATGTTTCTAAAATATTCTCTAATTAGTTCAATTGATCATTCAATTGAAGAAAAATCTATCTATACAGTTTTTCCCTCTCTAATGTTTTGGAGTAGTTTTTATTCATTATTTTTCAGTAACATTGCAAAGATTGATACTTACAAACATTATTAACCCTAGCATTGAATCTTGCAATATATACATTCTTATTAACTGTAGTGAAAAGATGTACTACAACTAGCAGTTTGATTATATTTCCACATGAAATATTCTTGCATCTATCTTTGTTCAACAGGACTTTATATATACTATCCTTTATACCAGTATGTAATAAGGTGACAATAATGTATTTTGCAGGGTGACTATATTTGGATAGAGCCTCAATCCAAACGAGAATTTGATGTTGCTATTGGGGCTAGAGTATCATCAGCTGAAGGGCGTGGAATTCAAGTCATCGATGATGATGGAAAGGTAAGCTCATAATCTTTCTCATTTAAGGATATAAATATATACTGCACACAACAGTTAAAAGGTAATCAGACGTTGTAATTCTATACCTATGACAAGTTAATACTACTGTCATAAAAGAAGTAAATTTCTGTACCATCTAAAAAATCAGTCATAATCTGAAGTGTGAGAGAGTGGTTATTCAGATTGTGGTCTCGCATGATCTCTTCTCATTTTCCACATTGAAATGAATCACAGATTCTATAGGATTCCATATTTCTCATGAACTAGGGCTTGGTAATAAATACAACCTTCCTATGTCTATTGAAACATTGCATTAAGAAAACAAGCAAACAATTAAAGAATAACTTTTCAAAAAGGAAGTAAATATAGGAATGGATAATATCAATCCTTCAAAAACAATGCAAACAAGATAGTAGGGATGGTATTTGCATCATAAATAAGGTCATGAAACTTCCAATATATCCTCATCAATTCCTCTGAAAGAACTTCTTCCAGGATACTTTTGTATCTGGGGTCACTTTAGGTGATGTGATGAGCTACTGATTTGGAGGTGGTTCTACATTCTGCTGGTGACACTTTGAGACACTTTAGCCAATTTACAACAGGCTGTTTTAACTGAATGATATTTTTTGCTGGATGGTTTTCAACATAAATGAAAAATCCACAAGTCTTTTTCTGAGGTCTAATTCTAAATACATTGAGATTCCAACTGTAATATTTATTGTTTATCTTTTATTAGCTGGTAATTCCTGTTTCACCCTGAACTTAAGCTTTTTAAAGGACCTTCAAATTTTTGTAAGAACGTTAACTTCAAGGGGTAATGATAACATTGTGTACACTAGAATTATGATTTTTTTTTAATTACTACTAGTTAATAATACTTAAAAGTGAATACTCTGTTTGAAACTATGTCACCTCAGTGAAATTGGTTGACACTATTGTATTTTGGTTTTGAGTTACCATGTAATTTTATAAAATTTTAAAGTGACAAAAAGTAGCTTATTAGCCCACGAAGGATGTCCCTTCCAGCTCCCAACTATAACCACCCCTTAATACTCAAGTATTCATCCAATCTTTTTGTGAACTCAGTTAAATTTTGTGCCTCCACCATCCTTGAAGGCAGCTCATTCCAAAACCCAACCACCCTGTTTGAAAAGTAATACTGTCTAAACTACAGATGACTCCTATGCTGCCAAAATTTGAATTTATACCCCCTTGTCCTAAATGAGGTCTTACAAGTGATCTAAACAGTGAAACAATAATATCCCTTGTCTTGTATTCAATATTTCTGTAGATGCTACCCAAAATCTTATTAGCCTTATTGCTAGCTACAATACACTGTTTAGATGACTTAAGTGATTTCTCAATCACAACACCAAGATCTTTTTCTTCAATCACAGCATTTAACGTATTTCCATTTAAATTGTAACAATAATTTGAATTGTGAAAACCTACATGCATCACCTTGCATTTTGGATTGTTAATTAAACATCATCTACTATGTATTGGCCCAATGCATCAAATGATCTAAATCTCCCTGTAAGTCTGCAATATCTTTGATACAGTTAGCCACCCCAAAAATCTTAATGTCATCTACAAATTTCAAAATTTCATACCAAAGTCAATATCACTAATATAAATCACAAACATCAGAGGATCCAGTACAGAGCCCTGAGGCACACTGCTTGCAACTGTGATCCAGTCAGATTTATTACTACTCTCTGTTTTCTACTCTCCATTCAATTTTCTATCCAGTTTAATAACATTTCACACACACACACAGATTTAATTTTTGTAACAAGTCTTTTGTGAGGCACCTTATCAAATGCCTTCTGAAAATAAAGGTAAACCAATTCCACAGTATTACCTTCATCAACTCTTGCAGTAACATCTTCAAAGAATGTCAAAATATTTGTTAAACAAGACTTTCACTTAGTGAAACCATGCTGGTTCTTTGACAC